GCGGTGACTGCCAGTCTCCGCTCCCCGCAGGGATTCTCCCCTCCCCTCTCCAATCCTCCTGCGCTGAGAGGAGGAACAAATGGGAGAGGGTGCGGGCACAGCTGGCTCTGCCTCTAGATAGGCAGAGCCAGCTGTCTCTCACGCAGCTGGATGGATCTCGACAGTATTGTCGGGATCTGTCCCGGCTGTGGTGCTCTCTATATATCACGGCAATAGCCCCGATATACTGAGCTTTGGGTCACTGGAGGAGGTTTGAATAAAAGTTGTATTTTTATCATAGCTTGTAATCTGTTTTTTTGGGACTTAACGGAATGGAAGGTTTTAAATGGAGCCGATATTGGAGAAATGGGTGTGGCCACTGAAAGGGTGTGGTTACTGAGGGGTGTGGTTACTGAGGGGCGTGGTTACTGAGGGGCGTGGTCACTATGGGGCGCTGTAAAGCTTTCTCGCACAGGGCGCCTAAAGACCTAAGGCCGGCCCTGGGTGGAACCTCGAATTGATCAAGAATGTAACTTGTGGGGGGCCTGTCCCTTATTTATAAGGGTTAAGCCTCCACATGTGGTTTAAATATAGCATTTCTATAGACACTTTTCAGGAAGATTCCCTCAACCCGATACAATGGGCTTGCCTGTATTTTTATGTATTTTAGTCATATATAGGGCAAATAGGCAAACTACTTAGTTAAAAGATATGGGAAGCTGGACACTGTTTAAAAAAAAAACTACTGTACTGCAGGAATAGGATCTTTTCATGCAGCTTCGAGGACAACATTGAAAATACACAAACCCTCTAAAGTGGACCTTTACCCATATCTTTAAAATAGCAACAAACACAACTTTAGAAATGTTTAGAAAGGACAATCTACAAACACATACTTCTAGATAATTGCTGGCTATTGTCGATGTAGATGAGCGACATCTACTGGACTAATTGAGATTAAACATTGGAGGAGTCTGTGGAACAATCCATAGACTGTAGCCAGGAAGGTGTTCTCTTGCCCTTAATCAAACGGGTAACACGCTGAAGACCTTCTCTCTGAGAGGTCTATCCACAAGGTGAGAGGCAGATATTGTTATTTCACACGGGTGAAGACACGGTCGATAGATGTAATGCGAGTGCACACATCAACAATACACCAATGCTGTTTGCATGACTGAAGCACTATATGTGGATCGATAATTGTTATGCTGATTGAAGCACTGTATGTGGACTGAACACTTTTGCACTTTAATACTATATTAATGTGGATGACTACAAAGTCACATTACTATATTAGTTGTCATTTTTATAGAGATATGTATTTACTGTATATGCATAGTTTGTGCGTTTATTTATATTATATAAGAGGTTTATAAAATAAGATTGGGATTTATATTTTTTACACAATTTTGTGTAGGTTAAGGAGACATATTTGGATACCATTTCTGTGTGACACTTTGGTTCACAGCGCGACACAATTATTTTATTAATATACATAATTTACATGTTTGATAGTGCATGAGACAGATTGATTAATTTAAAAATCGTGACCATTTGAAAAACAGTCAATATAATGTTTTTTTTTGCTGGTGTATATAATTTGCAAGACAAACACTTGAATACTTCTTTTCCACCATTTTAATTTAAATACTTTTAACAAAAATGTTTTTTTTAATAGATACTTTAGTTCCAAATGGTCTGCATGTTAATTTGGATGTTAACTGCGTTATCAATAACCTATGAAGCATGTTGCAAAATGTGAAGTGTTTTACAACATGGCCTACATTTTAGTACATCTTGTTTACGCCCCGTACTCATACGCATATGTCAGTTGTATAATTATAGGCTTTGATTGTCAGTTGTATAATTGTATGTATGCTATGCTTTTAGCCTGTTTATCATTTTAGATAACTTTAGATAACTTTAGGTTGATAGTAGTATTTACCGTATATTGCTAGAATTGGGTGGATTATCCTGGGTCTGACCATAAGCATGTTTAAACTCCCTATATTTAGGGGTCAAACAATCTGACCCATAGGTAGTGGCAGTGGATGGTGTTTTTTTAGGACAAGTTTGCTGTGGATCAAAATATTATCACACAGGACTTTAACCAGTTTTGCAAAACTGAAATTTTTATTTAGTTACTAATAGATTAGTGTTTATTTTATTTAGTGCTTCCTTAAATATGGGTTCATGTTACTTTCTTGTGCTATTTTAAAGCAGGGCCTTTATATTGTGAACATTTCGATGATCACTAGAGGGCACAGTTTAAATTTAGTTAATTTACTTATTTTATCTGCAAATCATCATAGTTTTTAATATGCACATATGAACAATAAAA